ATGTGTATAAGAGACAGATGCTGCCCTGCCCGTCTGCACCCACCCCTCCACACCCTGGAGTCAGGCGCACCCCTCCCCTCGCACCCACGGGGGTACAAACGTCTCCACACGAGCATCTCTCACCCTGCACCCACTGGGGACAGGGGTGTGTGTCCGCAGCAGCCATGTGTCCCCCACCCTTGCTGCCCTAGCCACCACATAGGCAGGCCGACCCCTCTCCATCCCTCCCGCCTGCCCCACGCTCTTACCGTTCCCACGGGAGTCCCAGCCCTCACCCCCCGCCACCCCTTGCTGGCCCTGGGGACCCTGTCACCCAGCACCCTGGATGGCTGCAGGGCTTTGTCACCCTTGCTGCTACCCGCTGTGCCTGTAAGAGTGTCTTGAACGCCACACGCACAGGTGACACTTTTCCTGCAATCCCATTCCTTGTCCGAGGGGATGGATTAAGGTTACCCAAGCAACTATGAAGCTGAAGGTTCCAGCCTTGAAGTGCTTGGCCTGACAGCTCTAATAATATAATAAAGTATAATATAATATAATTAACATAATATAATATAAATAGTACAATGTGCAGGAGGGACTTGACAAGTGCTCTGTTTCACATAACCTGCGAGTGGTAGCGGTGGTTGCAGATGCCCCAGCTGTCCCTGGAGCCACGTCCCAGCTAGCTGGGGACTGAGGTGTGGCGTTCTCCAACCCTCTGCCACGCAGACGGGGACCTGCTGGCCCAAGCCCCAGATCCACTGGTTCAGCTGGTCAGGTGGGCCGTGCCTTGGCCTGCCTGGCTGTGGCTGCATGGGGTGTGCGGTGCTGGAGCAGCCTTGGACAGAGCTGAGCCCAACATCCCCCCTGACCCTACAGATCCCAGGGTAGAGTCAGCCTCCTCATCACCCTGCGCCTCCCTCCTCCCCAGAGCGCTTCTCCTGGGATCTGCCTCAAATTCCTCTTGCTATGCTTTACATCCACAGTCTCCTTTCCCTACCCTGAGGGCCGGCGAGCAGGATTGTTCCCTTCTCTCCGCAGCCTTTTGCCCACTTGGAGCCCAGCAATGTTTCTTTCCTCAGTCTTGCCTTTATTAGTCAAAACCCTTCCACAATTCTCACCTGCTCTTTCAGCCTTGTTTTTTCCAGCCCAGGCTCAGCTCCCTGTGCCGAGCTGAGCAGGAGTGTCCCAGCCTGCACAACCCTTCCTGCGCTGCTCCAGTGGATGCCTCTCCCTGCCCCGTGCCGCTTAGTTTCCCCAGCAGCTCGTCTCCTTCCCCGCTGCAGCGGGTTCATCTCCCTGCGATGGCCCTCAGCTGCCTCATCCCCTCGAGTGACAGCCTCAGACCCCCCTGCCTGTGCTGCCAGGTCACCCCTGTGCTCTATCAATACCCAGTGCTGCAGGAACATGATGGCCTTGCTCACCTGCTGCCTCAGTTTCCCCACCTGTAAAGCAGTATTTACCCTTGCAGACAAGGGTGGCCGCTGGTAGTGAGGTGACAGGCAGGTATTGGATGGCTTCGTGGCTCCTTGCACCTAAAAGCAACAAAATCTGCCTGGTACTCCCATCCCTGGCTTGCCCAGGGTCTCATCCCTGGCCTCTTCACTCAGCCCCAAGGGTGTGGAGCAGCATGTTTCTGGGTGCACGTGGCCCCATCCAAGGCACCTGCAGGTCTGGGGTGCACGGAGGTGGGTGTTCAGCCCTCGACCCCATAGTAGCAGCGCGGGGCTGGCTTCCAGCATCACCTTCCCAAGCACCTGGTTAATTATCACTCAACCGCCTGGCACCAGGCAGGAGCATCTCTATTAAGCCAGCTGCACGCTGCCACCAGCCCCGTTAAGCAGCAGGCCTTGATGCTCAGCCATTGCTTTATGGTAAGAGCCAGTCTCAGGAGCGGAGCTGGGGGGCACCAAGCTGCTGCATCTCTCCCCCACACTCCAGGGTGCCCCCTGGTCCCAGCTGCCCAATCTCAGATGCCAGGTGCCTGCCACACTGCATAGAGAGGGGGGTGGGGGTGTCTGCGGGGTAAATGCTGGGATTTCAGAGATTTTTATTAGTCAAAACCCTCCCACATCTCTCACTTGCTCCTCCAGCCTTATTATTCCAGGGGCTGGGGCGAGCACTGGAGCTCTGGGGGGGGAAAGAGCAGAGCAGAGCTGGGTGGCAGCAGCAGCAGGGAAGGGGTCATGGAGGTGCTTGGGGCTTCAGGGCCCAGGCACACAACTGTCTCCAACATCCTTCCCACGGCAGGCACAGCCCTTGCCCGATGCAACTCCCCACTTTTCCAGCAGTGTCTGTAGCCAAAGAGTGCCTGGGGCCTCCAGGAAACAGGGCTACTCTGGCCCCCGGCTCTAGGACAGAAGCCAGCTTGCTCTTGATGATGATGATGCCACTCAACACCTTGGTTTATCATGTGAAGTTCACGCTTCAGGAGAGGGAGGGAAGAGGTGCTTTACATGGATGTGTCCACCTTCAGTAAGGTGCCCAGCACCTCCAAGGTGGAAAAAATGAGGCTGAAAGGGAAAACGGGAGCTCAGTGGGGATGGAGCGAGCAGGACCAGGTCTGATGTATCCCGCCATGCACGTGTGAGCTGCTCCTTGCAAGTGAAGGTGGCAGTGAGGGGGGTTGTACCTGCCCTGTACCAGCACTTCCCACCAGAAAGTCCCAGATCTGGGCCCACCATCAGTGGATGGATGTTCTAGTGCCTCAGCTGCTGCAAGTCACCTGCAAAACTGGTCTGAATGGTCTCAGAATTATCTGAACAGGAGGACCTCCAGTGCTGAGCCCCACAGCATCTGCTCCCCAGGGCAAACTCCCCTTGTGAAGGGGTAATTGGGACATCGGGGTTTAGGCAGAGCTTGGGGGTCTGTACCCACCAACTAGAGGCACGAAGTGAGAAGGACCAGTAGTGGGATGAGGAGGAGGAGCAAGAGAAGAAGGAGGAGGAGAGCTGCTGCTCCAGTCATCTCCTCGGGGACTGGATCCCATTCAGGGCGGTGCAGCCTGAGGTGCTGCTCCGCTGTCTCCCCTGCAGTGCCGGGCAGAGCCAAGACTTGGTGTCCTTGCCTGGTGTTGGCATCACCTCCTGTCCTACCGGGCCAGCAGGGTCTCCATCTTCCTTCCACCTGAACGATTGCCGCAACATCCCATGCAGACTCCCTCTGCCCTCTTTCCCACAGATTTACACCCGAGGGCCGTTTTGAAGACCCCACCTCCTTCACCATCCCTGCTGGGGGTGCTCAGCAGCTCCAGGGCCCAGAGCAGAGCCCCGTGGGTGGTGATGGAGCTGCAGGACCCAGCGCGGGAGCTGAGGAGGGACCACGCTGGGCAGTGCCCGCTGGAAGGCAGATATCTGCCCACACAAAAAACCACCAGCAGGATCCAGGGACTGCATTTGTGACAGATTTGACCTGCTACCAAGGAAAAATCCAGCTTTTGACATTGTAACTCAGAGTACTTGGTTGCAAGGGCACTGCCCTGGCATGGCAGTCTGCCCGGGTGAGAGGAGATCAAGCAGCAGCCAGGGAGAGGGAAGCAAATCCCAGGTGCCCACCTGACTCACAGCCCATCACCCTCCACCAGCTCAAGCCACTCCACCAGCCCCCTGATCCCAACAGGAACCATCAAACCAGCCTTCCCATGGGTGTCTGCAGAGAGCTGGGGGTGGAAGTACCAAGAACATGCCAGCAGCGTGCAAAGTGTCTGCTCTGCATTGAGAGGCAAAGCCACACATGCAGCACGTCCTATGAAATGAAAATTCACCCAAATGCTAATTTGGGCCTTTGAAACATCGCGTGTGACGATCCAGCGTCATCTCCTTGCAGAGTGCCTGGATATCGTGGCGCAAAAGGATCTCAAGCGGCGCGTATTAAAAAGTACTTTCACGGAACATAAAGTGGAAGTTAAGCAAATGAAATGATAAAGTCAAAATGAAATATTTTTACTTCCCCGAAATGAGCTTGGTGTTTTGACATGATCGGAATAAACATTTTGACACTGCTGAAACAAGAAAGTCAAAGTGATTCTGCTAGACTTCTTCCTGGAGAAAATGGCAGCAAAATCGACAAGTTCCCAGGGAAAGATTTGATTTCAGTAAACCCTGTTTTCTGATGGAAAACCATTCCAGACAATGTTTTCCTTCAGCCCTGTGCGCAGAGCAGGTTTCCAGGAGAGACCTGGGTCACTCACTTGCCAGGCACTCGAGTCACTTCCCAGAGCTGCAGCAGGGAGGGAAAGCTGCTCCATCCTGCCTGGGAAAGGGAGGGCTGGGGAGGCCTGGAAACTCCCCTGCACACCTCAGAGTTGGATTCTCCAGTGCCTCATAAGGGCTGATGCTGAGCCCTTAGCCCGTGAAAGGGGCACAGCAGCAGGGTTTGTCCCCTCCAGGTCCAGGTTCATGCTCACATCACGTTAAACCAAGTGCATCACAGTGGGACTAAATTTTCATACTTTGATTTGGGGAAATGTCAAGAATGAATGTTTTCAGTTGAAAACCAAAATAGTTGCGTTTTGAAGGGCTGCAGGTTTGCTGAGAAACCAAGCAGACAGTTTAGAAATGGTCTTGTGAAATTGATAGGTCCATTTTTTATGAGCTAAGAGTTGGGTGGAAAATTTCTGACCAACCTTTGGTGTATGCTATAGGTATTAAATTTTGCTCCAGAATGGCATTTAAGGAAAAAATCTGCTCTTTAATTATAGTAATACTTAAAAATAGTTTTCAGTGCTAATTTTTGGTAGTAATTCCATGTGATTAAATATACCTTTGCTCTATAGAAGATGGTGTAGGTCATGCAACAAGTTCATGAACCCTCTAATCCCACCTTCTGGCATAGCTACCACGGCCAAACACAGAGGCAGTAAAATCTCTCCAGCCCATCACGCCATTCCCTGTCTCCACACCAAAAGGCTGCAGTCCCCCACCATCCAAGCGAGGACTGTTTTGTCAAAGAGACCTTAGCGGG